AAAGGCACCAGACTGACTCTTCTCTGCCAGATGATTTAATAGCTAATGAAATCATACTGCTATGTCTTTGAGTGTTGCCACCATGATTTTGCAAAAATGAAGTATGAAGTCCTTTCTGCATCTGGCATCTTTTGATGTGGATCTAACTGCTGAGGGACTGCTAACTGAACTGAATGTTTCAAGAAAGCCAATTTACTCAGCTGGTCGCAAAGCCTTTGACCTCAGTAGTGGAACTTGGCAAATCAATGAACACACTTATGGTTAGTGTTCTGTCAAGAATTGCGAAAATGCTCTGTAAACCATAGATCCTTCTGCAAAATACTAGTTTGTAGTTTAAACATTAGTCTTTCTTCAGAGGCCAATGAGGCTAGTTAATTAAGCCTGAGGGGTTATGAACTGTTGGCAGTTAATAAGTCATAAAATTCCTCCATAAAACAGGATGCTAGATTCCATCACTGAGGCAAGGAGTACAAAGAGCCGGTGTATAAATATCTAATTGTACAAAAGGACTGGGATTTCTCAATGACTGCTCATCTGGAGTCTCCAGGGCATGCTCACTGTGGTTTCCTGATTTTTAGAAGCCAGTTTAAAAAATGAGTGCATTAAAGAGTAATTTGCCTGTAAGTTCAGGAAGTATAGGGGTGGAGGAGGGAGCAGAAAAGAGAATGAGGAAAATAAGAGGGAGGGGAAGAGAGACAGAGAGAGAGCGAGAAGAGGCAAAAGAAAGCAGCAGTTACCTCTACTTGCCGAGTTGGACACCTTTGCATCTATCATCTATTTTTTTCCCTTTTAGGATGTTCACCATGGCAATGGTACACAGCAGGCTTTTTATGCTGACCCCAGCATCCTGTATGTTTCCCTCCATCGCTATGATGAAGGCAACTTCTTCCCTGGCAGTGGAGCCCCAAATGAGGTTAGGTTTATTTCTTTAGAGACCCATTTTTATTTGCATCTTTTAGGTAATTGCATTTCATGATTACCCCTAATTTTCTCATCCTTTGCTGGTGCTTTAAATTACATCAGATTACCAAATTGTCCACTGGGACTGGGGGACCAGTGGAGAACAAGTGTATAACCCAGAACAGTCCTTGTCAAACAAGGCTGGGCTGATTTGACATTCTGTTTGATGTTTATTTCAAAAGCACACAATTGTATGTTTTCTTATTTTTTTTCATCTCCCTTTTGCCACCTTCCCTCCCCCCTTTGGAACTTTCCTCTGTCTTTTCAGGTTGGAAAAGGCCTTGGCAAAGGGTATAATGTAAATATTGCTTGGACAGGTGGCTTGGATCCCCCCATGGGAGATGTAGAGTACCTTACAGCATTCAGGTTAGTACTTTGTTTCCTTCTAAAAGTGCCAAAACTGGCAGTGGAATGAAAGTTCACACAAATAATAACTATAATAATCCCAAAAGACTTACAAATGGCCAATGGGAGAACTAGCTTAGAATAACTGCATAAGTAACATGCAACAAGAATATTAACTTGTATCTCTGACCTCTGTCAAGACTTGCCATTTGAAATGTTATATCAAGAATATACCACTTTATACCTGCACTGTATAGCAAATATGCTACAAAACATATAAAACCAGCTTTAAATAATTGTTTTGTTAAGCTTTTTATAAAAACCACAGTTCTTGGAAACTTTATAGGTTTTAATAAACACACAGTTTATTGTTCTGGCCAATCACTCAAAATATACAAGAAAAATATTTGATGATTTAATCCAGGGGTGGGCAAACTATTGACTGTGGGACTCATCCAGCCCATCAGCCATTTTAATCCAGCTCTTAAACTCCCATTGGGGAGTTGTGTGGGAGGCTTGCCCTGCTCAGTGCAGCACCCAGAAGCAGCAGCATGACATACTCCACTCCCCCGGCTCCTACGCATAGCAGCCAGATGGCTCTGTAGAGTGCTCCTGCCCAAGCACAAACCCCACAGTGCTTTTATTGTGTATATATAAGTGTAGAAAATACCAAGTAAAATATAATATGGGCAAAATCTACTCCGTGCTCAGGTAAAACTCCCATTGTAGTTCATATATTTGACCAAGAATGGTATCTTCTGTGCAATAAAATAAAGTGTTATTTGCTTTAAAATAACTAATTGTGAATCATGATTATATCAGAGAACTATCCCATTTTAAGTGATGGATCATTCATTCAGCTATGAAGAATTGGCTTTTGATCATCTGTTTTCATGGGCCAGAGGAGAAAGAACCTATTTCAAACATGCCCTACTGTGTTCACTTTCAGCAGCCTTACATTTCCTTTCATGATAAAGCAGAATGCATTTTGTCTTATTGCTATGGAAAAGCTTGGTGAACTAGTGCTGGGCAAACTGCAGGTGCTGGGAAATACCACTAATGAAGTGGGACTTTGCCCACGAAAGTTTATGCCCAAATAAATCTGTTAGTCTTTATGGAAGACTCTTCGATGTTTTAGGAGGCTTCAATTTATAATGGCTGCAGTTCAGAAATGGCAATGAGACCTCTAACTTGTACCTCCAACATTATCAAGACTTATAATTTGAAAGGGTATATCTAAGGTATATAACTCTAAACCTGTACTATAAAGCAAATATACCACAAGCATATAAAACTTTTTTTCAGTAACACTCTTGGGTGGTCCGTGAAGTGGTATGTACAGTATCCAACAAGGTTTTGTATTTAGACATCACACAACTGAATTCAAAGCCTAAACCCCAAACATAGAAATAACTTAGAAAATCACAATCTGTTACTGTTTTTGTGAAAAGGGTTTTACTTTATATTCACCATTTGCCTTGGTTAGACTTACAACAGTCTAACCAAGTATCCAGTTATTTCAGGAGACATTATCAAGGTGATAGGCCCCAAAATTTAGTTTCTTTAAAAATTTCATTTACTTTTTTGCCAAGATCAGTTGTTCTTTGTTTGAAGTTTTACAAGAGCATTGACTGTCTCAGAGGATTAGAACTGAGCTATGGTACTTCTTACCTTTAAGTACTTGATTTAACTCCAGCCCAGGTAGGTAGTAAGTGAAATTTTTTACCATATTATGGCTTACTTGAAATTAGCTGGTCATCTTAGCCCCTTTTAATGGGCAGAAGTCTATGTTACTGAGACCACCACCATGGGTATCACTGACAGCAAAGATAAGAAATTAATGATTCAAACTAAATCTGTTCTCAGAGGTCAAGTTTAAGGCACATTCATGAACACAGTGGAGATGCTTGTATTGCTCCTGACCATGCTGTAATTGTGTCATGACTACACAGTCTCCTGGCTAGCAAACCAACACCTTTCTGGAGCAGTACATACCCATTAATATGGTGGTAATGTATCTGCTCAGATCCTGTGGCAAACCCCATCTTCTCTGTCCCTCACTTTGAAAAGGGCAGAAAAGAAATAGTATATGATTATAATATCTATACTGTTACTACTTTCCAAAGTACTTTATTGTATCAGCAGCTAACAAAAGGGACGTGGCTAGTCAATCGCAATCCCCAAATAAAAGTCAGGAAGAAACTTGATATATTTATTCAAATGGTGGTCTACAACTATGTATCAAAGAAGCAGCAAGGCTAAACGGAGATATGGCTACAATTTGTAGGATTCCTTGTCCAATTTTAAGGACTCCATTACCCAGGACATAAGGCAGGAATGATCAGCCCTCTTAGAAGAGAGAAAGAATGTTGTCAGGGCCTCTTTTTGGACAGCAAATGCGGCTGCCAGGACAATGGCCTCTGCTCTCACCATGAGATGATTCTTTTGGCTTTGGGACTCTCGCAGAAGGTCCAGCTGTCTATCCAGGACCTCCCTTTCGAAAGCTCATCACTATTTTCAGACCATATGAACATGAGAATACATGGCTTCAAAGACTCCAGGGCTATCCTCAGGTCCCTGGGCCTCTATGCTCCATTTGCTTCAAGGAAGCACTTCTGATCATAGCCATTGCCATATTTTTCAGCTTTGCCTCTGAGACAGGACCACTGCTTCCGTCCATTTCAGTCTCCCAGTCAGGATCACATAGGTACTCTGGTGGGCAAACCAGGGCTTTTTGAAGGTGTGCCTCAGGGCACCGTGCCAGTTCCTGCTTCAGATCCTGCCTCCCCTTTGTTTTTGGACTGATTCTCCCACTTCAGCCCAGCGTGGTCCTTGAGCCACGGGATGCTAAATATTGTGGTGATTGGTTATACCATGGAATTTTCATCCATTTCCCCCATCCCCATTGCTCTTCCAGGACCTTTGTCATGAGCAACTCCTTGCCCAAGAGGTGCAGACCTCTTATGGATAGGGGCCATGGAAGAGATATTTCAAAACTTGGGAGGGAAGAGGACCTACTCTCACTATTTCCTAATCCCAAAGCTAATGGCGGCCTTCATCCCATGCTGGACCTGCATTGCCTAAACAGATATCTCAGAGACTAAGGCCTCCGTTATTGCTTCCCTGGATCCACCCTTGACTTCAAGGATGCTCACTTTCACATTTCTGTTGTGGACACAGAAGATTTCTCAAGTTTATAGTAAACCATATTCATTTCCAATTCACAGCTCTTCCCATCAGACTATCCACAACCCTCCGGGTTTTCCTGACGATACTGTTGCTTAGAATAATGTCTGAAATATTGGAAAAGCTGCTAAAGGTGCTTGATGAGTACTGTGATCGATTCAGAATGAGAATGAAGAAAATATTTACTTTTTTCCTGAAACCAAGAAGGAAAAGGGATACATTTCTTATACTACAGAACTGAGAACTGTGGCATTCACATTGTGAATTCACATTTGTCACATTGTGACAAAACAAATTCACAGCTTACAGAAATGATTGTTGAGAGAAACAGAGAAATGTCTAGAGAATTACCTCCAAATAGCAAGGGGAGGGGGATAAGCTGTTCAGCGGAATGATCAAAATAATAACGACCGCTAGTGCGGAACAGGCAAACAGAAGCAGTTGAAGAGAATGCTAACTTAAGCAGTTAGTACAGTACAACAAAGCCCCTAAGGCTCTTACGCACTGCTGAGGTGGTCTGAGTCCAACTGTCATATCACCCAAAAGCAAAGGCAAAAGGCAACTGTTCAAGATACAGCGGGACAGGTGGTATGAAATAGCAATGGACTCAGGACATTCATAGAGACAAAACCAGAGAGTATTAGAGTAGCAGTAGTCAGTTGGCATGCCAGACACACAGGACCAAAGCCAGGACCAAGAGGATGTAGATTGGGAATAAAATGTTCAGTGGTCTGATGTTGGCAAATGAAAAAAAAGAGGCATCTGAGAAACACAGAGGACCATCCTGGTGCCACCCAACAGAATGAAGGCAGTGAAAGGGTAGAAGCAAATCCTCTTCCAATAAGCAATAATACAAACAAGACGTTGCAGCCTTCAACGCTCTGGCTTCTTCCCAGAATGGCCTTAGGCACATTTTTTTAAATTTTGGCAACTGTGGCATAGGGTGTCCATTATTGCTTGATCAACCGCTAAATTTCACATCAGAGGCCTTTCTGCATAATACTAGCCAAAGAAATAAATACCGGCTTTTTTTATTCTAGTTGGATTTTTGTTTTTGGTCAGGTATTTGGCCTTCAGTGCTACTTTCAACACCATGAGTGTAATATTTATGTAGGTATCTGTTCTTAAGAGCTCACACACGCAGAAATGTATATCTCATCCTATATGCTGATCTGTCACCAGATGAATCCAGTTAATATGTCTTGTTTGTGCTGAACAAGAGTAAATCTCAATTTCTTTCCTCTAAAGCAACCCAAGAAAGCCCTATTAGTATTCACTGAAGAAATGAAAACAAACCACCTTCCATGTGTAAGAAACCATGAACCCAGTTGCAGATGAGTTAGAAGCCTAGTACAGAGCATGTACTTTAAAAGTGTGCTGGATGAGTGACTCCCAGGGGGGTGCTATGAGAGCTGTGGAAAAACCACCATGCTGGCTTGTGGCTGCCATGTTGGTTTCATGCTGCTTTATCACTTTTTTAAAACGGACAGATACTCATTTATGTGCAGAACAAAACAAAAACACATTTCAGCATGGAGTTGAGAACACAGATTTTTTTTCGATGCAAACAGAAGTTTTAAATGGATGCAGCCAGTTTGAAAATGTAACTGTCTGCTATGTAAAAGAAAAAGTTTTCCCTTTAGTTTTCTTTTGTGTTTCTGCTAAGACTGTTACTTGTATGGTTATTCATGTTAAATTTAACGCCCGATGAAGTGCTTTGTTTGTTGACCACAAAGAGATATGTGGAAAATTTAGCCTGATGCTAAAAGACTGAGGGGAAAAAAGCTTTCTATAACACAAGTAGGAAATTTGATGTTGAAAATAATTAAGTTTTC